GTTGTAGCAGTTGTAGGGGCCGGGGAAGTCGTAGGTTGTGTGGGGGTCGCGGAGGCGGGTGAAGAGGGAGGACATTGTGAAATGGAATTCGGCGTCGGACATTGTGGGGGCTTTGGTGAGGAGGTCGGATATGGAGGGTAAGGGATCGACGTGGGATCCATAGAGCTCCTTTTTAGAGTCCAGGTTGACGTATATCTGATATTGATAAGATATTGATGTGTGTAGATGGGCAAGTTAACGAAATGATCACCATGCTTGCTCGCACTCTACCCCTCTCTCCATTTCAGCTAAAGAATCCAAGGCAACATCGGAGACGTGCGGAAATCTCGATCGACTCCCAAAACCATTTCCCATAAAGAAACACCCCAAGCTCCAAACCCAGCTACAACCCGCATCCAAAAACTCACATCAAAAACTGCCTCCGCCTGCTTCACAATCGCAACCCTTTCTTCCGGAGTATACTCCACAAACCGAATCTGATCCTTCACATCCTTGTACAGCTTGAAAGATACGCGACTTGCTCCAGCTTCTTCAAATCCGAGTCCGACGATGGCACCAATGAAGGAGACTAGAAGACCGAGTATCGGCTTCAGGGGGTTGGGGGGGCGGTACGAGAGCCGCATTGTGGGGAAGAGTGGAAGAGATGGAAGATGTTTGTGAGGATGTTTCTGGAGGCCAAGTCTGGGTTATTCATTTTGGGTGCGTATCGAGCGCCCTGCTATCTGTGCGTTTGTCCATTTCAAGAAATCCAAAAGGTAAAAAAATTGTCGATGTACAAAACCACCAAGTTTTTTCTGACAGGGAAACTGCAGGCGAAACAGGATTACAGAGCAAAAAGGCCTGTTTACGAGGCCGTCAACTTCGCTGACAATATGGCTGCTTGGACCTTGGAGGGGAGTCTGAATGAAACGATCCCAGAAATCAAAAACGAAATTAACACCGTTACACTTAGAGATATTGAGCAGAGTGGGGTTCGAACCCACGCATCTTGCGATACTGCGGCCTAAACGCAGCGCCTTAACCACTCGGCCATCTGCCCTTGTAAGGGCTATGAGCCAGTAAATTATATATTGCCTTCAATAATAAAACGCACTCAAAGGGCGGTTTGCGTTTACACGAATGGTCAAAACCAATCGTTGAGTCTCCGTTGAGAGCGCCATCATTCAAACTCCGCTCAACCAAGTTAGAAATCCAAATGTGCTGACCGTTTACCCATGTCTTCCGCCCACTCCCACTGCAAGTGCTGGCGAAATGTGCCATTGAATGTCTTCATATGGAGGAGAGGAGTATGAAGAGGCAGTGGAAAAGATACAATGAGTTTTTATGGTTTGATATTTTGATATTTGTAAGGCCTAGCGATAGAATTCGAGTGGTGGTCTCAAATATGATTCATGTAGGTAATAAGATAAAAAGGACCTCGGGGCGTATCAAAATGTTTAACTTATCGGGAGCGGGGATGGCCTCCTTTCAAGTTATAGGCCTGAAAAAGCTCCGAGTCCTTCCTCCACCGCCGCTGATCATGAGTCCTTCCTATTCTGTCTCAACCCACGTCCCTAATCTACGCCGCTCTAACCTAAAGTTCCGACACGTCCTGATAGGTCCATCCTCCTCGACATCTCTCCTGTTTGAAATTCAGCCCCTGCTTGCCCTGACTCGGAGTCCACCTCCATTGTCCTCTTTGCTTTTGTTTTTGTGCTTTGTCCTCAGGTGTAGATGCCAGGAATTGGCGGAGCGCCAAATGAGTATGACTTCCAACAGATTCAGACATATTCACGGCGTTGTTGGAACAATGAGAACGGCTACGAACCACCACCGCGTCCGGCACCCGTCCCTAGTCGCGCCACCACCAACAGAAGAAGGACCCTTGCAACCTCGCAAGTAGGAGGCAAAAACCGACCCCCAGGTGCCGTCGCTTCTCCTCTACCATTCATGTTCAAAGCACCCGAAACCAATTTCATGAAACCCGACGACCCGAACCCGTTTGTGTTCACTTCGAATTCAAGGGCGCCTGAAACTGCAGATGTCGCAACCGACACGCCGAGACGTAGAGCCACTCGCGCTGCTTCCCGAATTTCAAAATCCGCCAGTGAGATCTTGTCTCCAACGACGAACCTTGGAAGGAGCACCACTGGCACGGGCAGCCGCAAATCCATGGCTGTTATGGAAACCGTGACAGTCAATTCAGATACCGACTCTGGTGACTCTGCACTAGCGTCGTTTTCTTCGTCACCACCGATTCAAGTTCGTTCTGAGTTCTTGAACAAGCCCAGAATGCCTTTGAGCCCTGACGTCTCCTAGGGGAAAAAGGTCTTCTCGACTCCTCCTCCTCCGTTGACGCCCAAGCACGCCGCGGGTACCGGTGCGGACAAGGTCAAAGAAGAAGAAGATTTCCTACCAGCAACAACTCTCGCCACCACCACCAGACCAGCGAAATCTTCCAAACCAACCAAAAAATTGACGAAGACGAAATCCGAATCCGCTGCTGGCACAACCACACTGGCATGCAGGTGCACGAAGAAGGTTATCTGTAACAAGGGGAAAACGCAAGAAAAGAAACGGCAGAGATCTGGCGCCCTCTTTGATCTCTCCTGGCTCTTCACCTTGGTTTTGTTCGTCGCCCCCGGTCTCTTCGTGTATTGGTACGTCTTCTTCAAGGACGTCAATTAGTGCAGGTTATTTACTTCGTGTATATTGATCGCATACGCCAAATCCCCAGCAAATAAAATACGTATGCGGACTGGTAATCCTCGAGCGCGCATGTACAGATTGTATCATATGACGTTTGAACCTCTGTACCACAGCATTTGTAAACCAAACGTATTCAAACTCCGCTCACGACATCTGATTACATCGAGCTACAGCACAATCATATAAACTAATGTTGCTTGCTGACAACACGCCGAATCTGCTACCCGTTTGCCCATGTTTTCCTCCCGAGTTCTAGCAAATATAAACTAGTCTAACTCTGCTCAGTTCAATAGAGAACACGTTACGGTTGAATTTGCTACCCCGTTTTCCATGTCTTCCGCCCAAGTGTTGGCGAAAATGTGCCATTGAATGTCTTTATCCTCCTGTCCTCCCTGCCTGCCGCTGTGTCGCTGGACATTATTAGTCTTGAAGTACGGTGACCTGGGGAAAACGTATCTCCGCTCCTCTCTCCTTGTCGAGCGTAAGTAAGTTACCTTCAGCGCAACCTTTGTTCTGACCTTTGTTTAGTGGGCAGTAAAACTCTAATTGATGTTATCACAATAAACAACATACGCTTAACTTGTACGCTTATTAGTAATAACCTGCTGCTTAACCGTCTGCTTAAACCGTGGGCGCTCTTTACAGCGGGAAACATTGCATAAGGTTGTAGTACCTTTTCACGGCGGTTGAACTGACGTCCATTCGGCGTCCACCAGCGCAGGCGCCGCGAGTAGCCTGAGCTGAGCATGGCGAAAGGTAAAGTTAAGTTGGCTTTCCACGGGTCAATAAATGAAATGCATGGCTCGTATGTCCACAGCGCAATGGCTGCGCAGATGCAAATGCCTGCATGACCTGACGCCAGCCTGACGCGCAGCGCTTCGACAGGAAATTTTTTGTTGGGGAGATCCAAGCTTGAACTCTGCGAAAAAAATCTCACGTCAGCTGCACTGCGAGCAATGCGCAGCCCTGTCTGTGTGCCGGTGTGCAGCGACCGTGTGGGTTGTGTGGTTGTGTGGGGGACAGGGACACGCCGGTGCAAAGCCTGGTCACCCATCCGATATTGGATATTGGAGGGGTGAAGAAAACATCAACCTGACAACGACAACGACAACGACAACGACAACGACAACGGCGGTCCAACATCAACAACAACAAACATCTGACTCAGATCCATCAGAGCGCCCGCCTAGACATATATATTACTACAGTAGTGTAGGCATTTATATCTCACGTAGAAAAGATCCCTGTTAGGTACCCCTCGACAACACCTAGACTCCGCCGAACAATACGGTCATGCCATCTTGGATGAAACCGTCCGCAACCGCGGCCGTCCTCGCGGTCCTGGCGGCCGTTGCCGGTGTAGTTGTCCTCGCACAAAACACTCAATACGACCTTTACAGCAATGTCAAGGCAAACATCGGTTTCATGAAATATACCCCCGCCCAGAGGACATTGATCGCTAATCAGGCAAAGAACATTTTTGACGTAAGTTTTCACTCTCCGTTGTTGTGAATGCAAACTTGGCAGTCAATCGACACTGTGACCCCGTCTATTCGAAACCTCCTTCAAACGCTGACTTCCCGACTCAAATCCTTGATAAATCCCGAATGATGGTGCTGAAACGCGCAACAGATCTATGTCAATCGTGAATCCAAGGTCCAGTACTACGAGGTGGATCCCGTCCCTCGTATCGCCGAACTGGTCGAGAAAGCACCAACCATGTCCGACAAAGATTTCCACCTCTCCATGGCCGAACTCTTCCTCAACCTACGCGATCTCCACACCAACTACTACATCCCCGTCCCTTACGCCTGCTACCGCGCCATCTGGCCCATCACATTCGCCCTGATCGAAAGCGACGATCTCGAAAACAACCCCCAAATCGCCGTCAAGGCCCTTTCGACCTTCCCGCAGGTTCTGGATCTGGCCCCTGAGATCAGAGAGAAAGTTCAGACGGGTGACTTGCTTGTTTCGTATAATGGCAAGACGTTTAAGGAATATTACGAGGAAAATAAGCAGTGGTGTGGGGGTGCGAATACGTTTGGTGGGCACAATCGATGTGTTGCGCACATGAGTTTGAGGAGTGGGAGGATGTTTCCGTTGCCTGAGGAGACGGAGGCTGTTTACGTTCTTCGGAGGGGGAGCTACACATACACTGTCAAGGCGCCCATTGGTAAGTTTCGGAGACCATGGGCCCCTGCAATGATATTTAGTGTCGAGATTTCAAAGTTAACTTGTTTATCCTTCATATTGATCATCCATTACAGTGATGAGCTACACGAGATACTGCGTCGACCGATTCCCCGTCAACGGCACCGTCCTGGAAGACAATTCAGACCCGGCAGCCCGATTCGAGACCGAACCCCCCATTCCGCACAAGATCCAAGAAAAGATGTTGATGTACTCCGATCTCGACGATCTGAAAAACTCCTTCGAAGCCTCCTGGGGATACGAAAGGCAAACTACCGAAGAACCCATCATCTCTTGGTCCACTTACCAGCGGGGTCCGACCAATCTCGGAATCATCAGGCTGGAATCTTTCAGCCCATCAGCATCCACAGCCGACGGTTCCATCCGCATCTTGCGCCGGTTGCTTGTGAACGAACTCAAGGATACGGATGCCCTTGTAATCGACATCCGCGACAACGGAGGCGGACTCGCTGATTTCGCCGACTCCATCCCGCAACTCTTCGTTGGCGGTTTCAAGCCCACCAAAGCCCGCGCCTTGATTTCGGAAATCAACCGTCAAATGTTCAACACCGGCAACTTCAACGGGACCGCCTGGCAGACAGCCTACAACAACGCCCCCGAGGGATCCATCTACGCCGGAACCGCAACATTCACAACTGAAGCCAACATCAACAAATACGGAATGGCCTACTTCAAGCCCGTCGCTGTCTGGAACAACGGCAACTGCTACTCCGCCTGCGATATCTTCTCCGCAAGCATGCAAGACTTCCAAGCCGGACCCATTTTCGGCGAGGACAAGCAAACTGGTGCTGGCGGTGCGAATGTCGTTGCTTTGAACACGTACCTTGCGGATAACCTCCCTGTCGTGTTTGAGAAGCTCCCGAATGGACAGGATATGCGGGTTTCGTGGCGCCAGATCGTGCGGAACGGGAAGAATGAGGGGAAATTGATTGAGGATTTGGGGGTTTTTGCGGATCAGACTTTCCGGCCTACTATTGCGGATTTGAAGCCTGATAAGACGGATTACTCGCCGCTGAGGAAGATTGCGTTTGAGCTTAAGCTTTTGGGACGGAGAAGTAATAAGGCGTTCACTTCATGTAAGTATTTTGTGAACTATCTGGTTTCTCTGCATCTTCGTTGCGGATGATCCTGAACCTCATT